CCACTTACACCTATTTGTTTACCAATGCGGACCTGGGAAGCTTCGAAAAAAGCTCAATTCGCCGTTTTCATGTGCTGAAGAGCCCAGATATGAGTTCCTCATGGCGTGGCTACGAAAAGGGGAAAAAATGGAAGACGAAATCCTGCCGGGACACTACCTACAAGCTTTTCGCCACTGAATTGAATTTCACAAAGCAAAACTCCTCTTTGGCTGTTTATAAGAAATACTGCTATTGTTGCATTCAGGTTGCAAAGTTTAGGGGATATATGGGGTGGTTTTTACAAAACGGCAGGAGCACAAGACACATATACTGAGGAAATCGAAATATTCCCTCAGGGGTAGAGATTTGCAGCCGAAAAGATTGAACTCATGTGCCAGGCTATTTGATTATGTATATCGTTCCTAGTCAGACTAAGCTAGTATCTGAGTGCTGGACGCGTTATATGGCGCTGTTTCATCCGTTATATTTCAGATCAGTCAAAAGGTCTTGTAAGCGACCTCAGTATAATCAAGCCACAAGCGCTCAAGCTTGTGCTGTGCTATGCTGCACAAGCAATGCTTACTTTTCTTTACATCTCCTTTCTGACGGTGCTTGGTGAGAGAATGGCAACAGACTTGCGCATGAGAATGTTCGACCGGCTTTTACTGATGGATATGGCATTCTATGATGCACAGGTACAACAACATTTAGACATATTCTGCGGAAACAATCACATAACGCAAACTAATTCAGAAAACCGCCGAGCTTTCATGCAGAATGAATGTCGATGTGCAAGAGTTCAAAAGTTGTTTCAAGCTTACAGTAGCTCAAGGGCTTAGGACTGTGGCTCAGGTATATCTTGATTTTACCTCTTTCTCTTTTTCATTTCTATATGCTTTTTGCATTAGAGTGTAGAATTTTTGCCTTTTAATTAGCATACATTTTGGACTTTTTCTCATTGTTTATTCGAAAAAATCGTAGATATTTCATGGCTATTTTGCGATCCCTTATATGTTCCTAGAAAATTGCAACTATTCTTTTGAGTTTCTGTGATTGTACTGCTTTTTTGTTGAGCTTCATGTCCAATTCCTCCTCTAATCTCACCTGTCGGCCCTCTTCTCTATCTGTCAATCAGTCCTTTTCTTATATAATAATTCAATATCTGGTCATACGCGATATAGAATTTGCTTCGAATCGCACCATTTCAATATATTAGGTCGGTCCGAAGGTTCTGTCGTTTCATCTTCAAAAAATTGTAACTCTGCGCA